CCTTGTATGCCAGCAGATTTTATATACTTATTTAAGTTCTTCAAGATGCATGTCTCCCTGTTTATATGCATAACTGTGAAAGATATATTTAACATTTTTAAAAAGATTATTAGTGAGTAGATGAGATGAGTCAATAATGCAAATACCCCTCTGCCAAATATTACCCAAAATGTAGTACTTTACTTGATACACTGCTGTTCACTTTGTCAGTTTACTACTGGAAGAATGAGTAATGAGACCCCTAAAGAAGAAGCCTTTGCTCTAAGAGAGCCCAGTGGGATCCTATGTGAATCCAGCTTTTTATGCGTTAGTTAAGGAAGTTACTCAACGTTCACAAATAGAGAGGTTCCAAACCAAAAGGTGAAAGAGTCCAAAAGTGCCTTAAATTGTTCACAATTCAATCAAACAAATAACAATCAACACTTTTTTTGTTCGATCAAAATGTAAGCAATGAAAGTCACCTTTAGTTTGGTGCCATTTATTTCTGACAATTATGGTTACCCAACAAGGGAGGCTCGTTTTGCTTGGGAATTGCTTTAACAGTGCCAGCAATCTTATTTGCAAACTTTTCTGCATCTGGACAATATGAGTGAGCAGAGAATCTACAGACCCTCTTAAATGTGTTCCTTTAGAGTTAAGGAAGTTATGCAGCAAGAATCCACCACCAGCGAGAATTCCTTTTTAAGAGTTTTCCTAATCAGAAAGTATTGAACTTCTGCATTAGGACAAAAATGTCACACAAGGAGCATGTCACACAAGGGGCATATAATACATTTATTGTGTGCTGAGTAGCTCTGAGGCATGTCAACCCTTTTGCTCCTACAGTATCTACTGTTGATCATAGGATTGCACAAGCGATATCAAACTGAAAACCAACAGCACAGGACACGCAGACTATGTACCTTTTATTTGTATAAACGTTTCATGTTCACAGGAGTGTCCCTTTAATCTTCTTGTCAGACCGTTACATGAAGAGCACTATTCAACTATAAATGCATTCACTTTCTGTGCTCATGAAAGAAACTTAAGGATGAAAAGAAAATTGAAATGAAAGATTAAAAATGATTGAAAGCTCTGTATTATCAAGGATCTGCCCATATGTATGTTTTACTAAATTACCGATTTAAACCCGTTACTAGCAACAGAACTTCCATTAGCAGACATTTCACAGTTTTGTACATATCTGTTAAATTATATTGAGAAAGCACAACTATAGTTAATTAGCACTTCAGCTCTTCCCTTTGTGCGATTCATGTTTTAATATTTCCAGATTAATTAAATTATGCAAATTGCAAAAGCTGAGAAATGTCGTTGAGACTGCTGACAAATAACAGCCAAGAGTACATTTTAGAAAAAAAAATACATCCATATTATAAAACAGTCTAATGAAGTTAGGAGCATGTTATCTAGTTCAACAGGAAAGCGAACCTCAAACCTTCACCATTAACCCATGGTGGTGGCGAATCTGAACCTTATGCCTAGTCATTAGATCACCAGTATTTAGGGAGGAAGCTCTCACATGAAGAAGCAATGACCAAGATGGTCACTTACACACAGTAACAAAGTGCAAAACAGGCATGATAAGTCAGTAATGGGTGAATAAAAGCAGCAGGGAAACCACAGGCAATACTGGTGGCTAGTCCTTTGCCCCTTGCTTGCCTTTTTGGACATAGCTTCCAGAGTTTAGGTACTCTTTAATATGTTCTGTGCCCATGACCTCAGTTTCCTTCAAAGCATCCTCCACCACTTACACACACCTTGTCTTTACTCCTTGGCCATTCTGTTTGAACACTGGAGCAAAGTAAAATTCCAACTTCTCCCAGGACTAAGGGCTTGTTCACACCAAGCGCGTTCCAGGAGCAGAGCAGAGCAGTTAAAGACTGCGTCCAATGTATTCCAATGGTATTTTGGGCTATAGTTCACACCGCAGCGTTCAGTTCCAGAGCATGTAAAAAAACTGCAGCAAGCCCTATTTTACCTGCTCTGGAATGCTCTGGAACGCATGTAAATGCATCAGAAATGCATGCAAACGCCATGGAACGCACTGAAAGCCCATTTTAATTTTTTTGTACCAAAGACGGCCTGGAACGCATCACAAACGCATCAAGTTCAAATATTGGGGACAGCTGCCTTGTGTTGACATGCCAGCAAAATGAAAGCACATTATTTAGCAGTATGTAAACTCTGACAAGAGGCTGGTATTAAGGTAATGCAGAACATTTTATTACTGCATATTTTATTGACAAAACTTAAGTAGGTATTTTTGTAATTATTGTTGGTTGGAAATTAAGTTACATCAACCGAATAAATGAATACAGATTTAAAGAGAACCACTCACAAATAAACATTTGTAATACTCTGAAACTTCACTCTTGATTTGTTTCAATAGTGTAAACTTAAAGTACAATTTTCAACCAAAACTCTTTGGGAAGAGTTAATATTGCTGTCAATCTCCTGCCTGAACTCAGTGCCGATTACAGGCCCTCATAAAACTGTCATACAACAAAGGTGCTGTTAGGATTACATGAAACACAGTTTTACCCTCTTCTAGTAACCTGGTCAAAGTGTCAATTATTAGCTCTAAGCTCAAGTGTAAGAGAGCTCCACGAGGGCCTTACTCCCTGACACTAGTTTGACATTATTGTTTCAAAAGGAAAAGAATATCATATCATAAGAGCATGCCCTCCTATCCTAGGGAGGCAAGGCTGTACCTTTACTACAACTTAAGAGTAAATATTCTGATCCTTACCAATTCCCATTTCAGGATCAGGGTAATTGGAAAAACAGGACTTAAAATATAATCTGTATACTACTGGCAGTCTGCAGGTTGCTTGCCAGAAACAAGCAGTGGTCTGCCCAGATAAAGACCAAAACTCGTAATATATTATTTAAATCGTTTATTTTTTATTTTTACTCTAATATTCTATTTTAGCACACCTATCAATTTTATTTATTTAAAAAGCAAAAGGCCGAGAAAGAAGAATCAGGTTTTTAAGGATTCAGATTTCAAAATAACTCTGCAAGCCATTACTGATTCATGAATTAAGAGTGAAAATGCAAAGTGTGGGCATACGTGTTAGCTAAACGTTATGCAACAGATTTTGTTAGTCAAGGTGAAACACAAACTGCATCAAGTACACATATTGGGGACAGCTGCCTTGTGTTGACATGCCAGCAAACTGAAAGCACAGGTGGAGTGCTGCGGCGGCTCTAACACTATGCAAGTGAACATATACTCAACCGAAATTTCAATTGAAATAAAAGTCCTAGCTACAAGCACACACCATACACATCTTGTTTTATATTAAAGCCAGAAAAGCATCCTCTGTACCCCTCTCTGATTTCGTTTTACATTGTTAATAGGCCATGTTTCTCTGTCCTCGTAGCTAAGTCTCACAATTGCCATTCCACTGTCAAATGAGGCTGTCTCAGTGGCCAGTAAGTGCACTGTAATTCACCAGGGTAATGACAGTTGATGGAGCTTAGACATGAAGCCATACAATGTTGGTCCCCAATAACAAAGGGAAACAAAATTAGAGAGATGCACAAAAGAGTCTTCGTTGGCTATTAAAGCTAATAGCATCACGGAACTTTTACATTCTACAGATATATAAAAGAGTACAGATTTCATTTTCCAGTCAGAAAAAAAGTTTAGTTAAAGCCCAATTGAGCCTTCAATTTAAATTTAGAAAAGTCTGAGCCCTGGCAGCACACTGGAGAGTGGGATCCATGATTTCTATGTGGAAGCAGTGGTTTTATTTCAGAGGTCCAGCACACTTCACTGCTGAGACAGAACTAGAACTTTCCAATCAGAAGTGAACATGAGCTTCAGTGATTGCAGAGATAAAGGCCTGACTTAGCATGGAGATATGTAAGAACTCTGCAGAGAGACCAATCTAACCACACAGAGAACAAATGTCCTTCTGTTCAAAATATATTGGCAGGGTGCAGAATTTTCTACTGAGGCTGTGGCCACTTTGCAAAAAAAACCAAACTGGATGACTTTGTACATGGTTTTGCTAATGCTCCTGGAATGATATAAAGTGAAAGTTCAATTGAGCTTTAATGAAATGGTACTTGCTTGTGAAACCTGGTGATTATAAAATGAGGACATAATAAGAGTTGTTTCCAGTAATTTAAAAAAAACTGATTTCACCTTCTATTTTGAGGAAAAAAATAAACAAAAATTCTGATTTCTTGCTACGGACCAAAACATCAATGTTGTGCTCATTTTATCTGTCTCAGTCCCATTTCTATGAACATAGCCAGGGTTATTCACAAAAGGGCGAAGAGTTTGTAGAAGGCAGGAGAAGTGAATATTCTAGAACATAGCTGAACCGGAAAGTGAGCCGAATTGGAGAATTTTTCCACATCAGCTATTTTGAACTAGATTGTTTTTAATTATCCTGCCTTCTCCAAACTCTTCTCCCTTAAGTGAATAACCCTGAGTGTCTGTGAAAAATATTCCAGCACTAACACCAAAAAATAAAACATACTACTTTATTATGTTGTTGGTTTTTCACAGTAAATCAGTAGTAGAATATTGCACTGTGTTGAACCATTGATTAATGCAGACTGTTTGGAGTCCAAGTAATGTATAAAGCCTGACAAAGGGATCTAAAGGCATCCTACAAGCTTGCATCCTTACTGCTAACTTGCTAACTAAAAGATCCCTATTCGATCTTGTACATATGAGCTTTAGCTTGCATAAGAACAGTGTGTACAGTAAGGTTTTGCACAGCATTTGTAAAGATTTCAGCAAGCTTCAAGCAACTTTGTTGAAGCCTTAGTTGGCCTTACTTTTTCAATAACGCAGCAAGTGAACCCTAATATAATTAAGATTGAGAAACACTGGTCTAATATACTTCATGATATGTGCAGACATCTATGAACTACTCTTCATGCTGGTCCAAAATTTAGAAAGATGACATATAGCATCCATGCGCATATGACAAAGCACCAAAATAAGTTTTTTTGCTTTCTTTCCTTGGAAAACCTACCTGACTTGTATGAAAGGTGTTTGGCGCACACAGTCTAGTGTAACAGTTGTGTGTTTTTCTCCATTTTCCATCTGTCTTTGAACCTTCCACTGTTCAGAGTCATCCACTCTTATAGCAATCACTTTGGCACCAAGAGCAGCTTTGACCCTGCAGAAGCAAGAATATAGGGAAAATGATTTAGCGTTGCATCTCTGATGACAGCTAGCAATGCATCAAGGACCTAACAATGCAAAAAGACTTCAGCGGTGTGACACCTTCTCTAGATCATTGTTAATGACTGATTCTCAACAAGATGTGCTTAGTAACCATGCAAAAGAAATCTGCTGAAAGAATAATTGAAAAAGACTGACACGCATACATATCTGCAGGATTCTTTGCAGCAAAAATGAATAGCTTGGAACAAAAAGTTAAAAGAGATTATGCATTTTGCTTGTACAACTAACTATGGTATCCCATGGAGCTCATAGTTTTTCCTTTAATGAGATATTTGTGTCAGCTCAGCACCTGCTGAATAAAAGACATATTCCTTAAATCCTATAGTTGTTGATGAGTCTTTGTTCTGCTTTGTTTTGTGAGGCAGAATGTAAGTGGAATAAACTGCTTGAGAAGGGTGTTATAGGTACACTATCATAACCAAGGATGCCATTTCTGCTTTACATTTTTTGGTCTCCGGACTTTAGTTGGTTGGCACAGATATTTATTTACATACCAGTTGTCCTTCTGAAAGGTCAATTGCATAAAGAACCACTGAAAGGGAAAGATATGGTGCTGGAAAGGGGTCAGACCTACAGTAGGTTCGAAGGGTGCAAAACAAAATACAATGAGCAGCACACTGTAGTTAGGAAAATGCATGATGGAGAAAAATAAGTTATGATGTGGATGGTGAATAGAAAAGCAACCTATTGCTTGCTAGACATCTCGAAAACAGGCTCTGTACAGGCTTAGACGTTGAAAACTCTGGCAGAAAGTTATGGAGTAAAACATATTACACACACCCACACATAGCATTTATTTATATACAGAAAAAGGAATATTATTAAAGATATGCGAGAACTCATAAAAACCATACATCATGATCCAAAGAAGAATACAAAATGAAAATACAGTTTTTAATGCCTCGGTGAAGCATATTGTAATAATAGTTTTATTTCCTGTGCCACAAATATGCAGAGATTTGTTCTCAGATAGGAAAGTGTGTCAGTAAACTTTTTATTTTATGCAAACTGATTCTTTTTTTAAAACATTTTCTCAGTACATTGATGCAGTTGCACTATTGTACTAATCAGTTTTAAAAATACTGAATATAGATGTTTAAAATAAAAACTAAGAATACAGCTGACTGATGATGTACAGTATGCACAACAAATCACACAGACTTATTAAAGGAAACATATAAGAATAAATCTTAGTTGTTACAGCATCCCATCCAGTGCTGAAGGATGCCATTGCCCAATCATTGAAAGTGGTACATGTTTAAGCCCTGCACCACTCCTGGGAGTCAGGCAACAACAACCCTCCGCAATGGATGAAAGGCCCTACTATTATAGGTAACAGCTATCTTGGCAGGTTCCCTTAAAGGTACTTCAAAAACTTATTTCAGCATTTTAAAAACAATCACTTGTTTATCGTCTCTCCGTTCGCTGATCATTTGGGCGCATGCATTAATGTACGTTTCCACATAAAGTCCAACTGAAGTTTTATGGTAAATTTCAAAGATAACTATAAGGTGTTAATGTTTTCATCTCCAACTAGCATAAGCCCCTGCTGAGTCACAGCTAGAGCAATCTGCAAAGAGACTGCTGCTCATGTACAGATAGCTGTGGTACTCTCTTCAGCCTGAAGCCTTGGAATTAAGCAATTATTCTGCCATTGGAGGTAAAATGTTAACAAAAAGAAGTAAGACATTTAGCAAAGTGTGTTTCCTTGCACCCGGTTATTTCTGGAATTTATAATCAGAATTGAAATGGGCTTTAACAGTAATCAAGGAGGTTAGCCTGCTAGTATTGAATTCCCCACTGGGGTGAGTTCAATTTAAGGGCTTGAATATGTTAGGTCTAAAGACATCCACATTCAGATTTTTAGTTTCTGGCTTTACTGTGCAACACTTTCACAGTGTATGGAAAGTGTGCAAATATATTTTCGAACCCCAGGATAACAGTCCTGGTCTTGCAAGGAATCCGATGTGTCGAAAGGTTTTTCCAACTTTCTATTCATAGTCTTTTCTGTTAAAGCAGAGATATATGAACATAATTCAGGTTATCATTCAAATAATCTTATAGACTGTATTAGGAAAATTACCCAACATTCACTAAAACGCAACATACTGTCAAGTAAAGGAAGGACCATCCAGTTATTTAGCCTGTCACCCTTTTTTTCTGGCTTCAGTTACCTTCTGATCTATCAAGATAGAATGTAATCAGCTGGTCAGCCACTACAGCTCTAATCAGTCAATTAATTGAATTATGCTTTCTTGCGCTTACGTATGTTACCACAACAAGCACTGCATGGAGTCTGCTGGGTACATGCATAAGGTATACAAAGGTAACTGTTCTCCTACTGCTCTCTGAGCTAAAGAATTAAGGGGTCCTAGTAAGAGATAAGAGGAGAGATCTTTGTAAAATGTATCTTGCTGCAAAAGTACTCATTACATTGTTGAGCATTTTTTTTTCAAACTTAGCCCCTGGTTATAGCATTTGGCTGCTTAGGTTAAAAAAAAAAAAAAAAGATTTACCTTAAAGTAAACTTTAAACTCCCATGTTGCTTTGGAAGCCCTGTGCTGCCCCTTAAGTCACTCCTAGCAACCAGTAAATGATCACACCTGTGAATGATCAATTAGCCTGAGACTGGGTGTGGAGACAATGGGGAGGTGATCAAATTCAGGGGTCGGCATGGTAGTGCAGTGAAAAATGAACATACCAGTGGTGTAGTTTGATATTGACAATCCAAAATTCGAATAGAGTAAGCCAGCACACCCAATCTCTTTACATAGATTGTATTATAGTAGAAAAAGGTATATATACATAAAAGATACAAAGTGCATAGAACAAAAATCAGTTGATTCATACAAAATATATGATACAGGTAGTTAAAGTAATACAGCAAACACAAGAAAATTCCTAAGAGTACTTGACTGTTGAGTAGCTGTAGCCACAAGTACCTGATGACACTCTACAGCAAATTAAAAAACCAGGGGAAAAGAAAGTCGCTTGTGTCCTTTCAGGGAGTTTGCAATATTGAGTATATTCTGTATAAAAACATTTTTACACACACTTATAAATACTAACTTGGCATCAACTTTATTATATACATATTGCTGACTTCTCTTCCTATAGCAGCTCTTTCTGGCCATCACAACAGGAAGATGAAGAATTATTTGGATAATTGCACACTTCTACTCTTGTCCACCTGTTTTTTTTAACAAAGTAATACATACCTTGTTTTTTCAGGACAAACAATGGTTTCTTTTGGCAGTACTGTCTTGCAAAAGATATTTGATATAGATCGACAAATGTGGTACCAAAATGCAAGAAAAAGTTTTTGACCCATCAGTTTTAAAATAAGTAGTGTTACTGTAGATAAAAAGTATAAATTTTTTGTATAATGTGTCCTCTTACAATGAAACTAAAATTACTTTTCTGGTACAAAGCATAACAAAGTTATTTGCCAATGAATATTTTGCACAATTTTTTATGCAACACTGAAAAAACAACAAAATTAAAGAAAACTGCCAAAGGCAGCCGAGTGAATAACCCAGGCGAAGTGAAGTGAGCCGGACGTTGCTCAGCTAATTACTTCTGCTCAGTACGGCTGATTTCAGGGTAAAATCAGCCATACATCGGCTGCCTTTGGCTGTCTTCGGTCAGCTGAGCCGAAATACAGAAGGAGTGGGACCCAGCCGATCCAACATCTGGATCCGCTGAGCCGAAGCTCCGGCAGCTCACTCGCTTCCGTTCGCCCCTATTCTCATATTACACTGCATTCGGCTCGGCTATTCTGCTGGGTGCCTACGAGGTACCGAGCAGAATAGAAAATAGGTGAAATAAATTTAAAAAAGTGGGAAACATTGTTTTAAAATGTATGCAAATTAAAAGAAATTAAAATAGTTTAAAGAAAATAAAAAAAAAAGAGAAAATGAAAAGTAATTTTTTTTAAACGCCTGCAAAAGAAAGAAAAATGTACGGAGCTAGCAGCGGCAGTTAGTGCCGACCAATTGTTTCCTATTGGCCGGCACCTGCTAGAGTCTTCTAGCAGGTCCCAGCCAATGAATAATGACTGGGCGGAGCCAGCCATGATATTATTGTTTTAATGACAGATCACATCATTTGGGGACGCTGATCTGTTATTACAACTGTGTGCAGCGAGCCGTGAGATCACGGCTGGCTCTACACAAATGTCATTTGCGGGGCCTTCGGCAGGCCGTTTGCTCCGCTTCGGCTGTCACTTCCACTCAGTCGAGCTGAAGCATATGCCTTCGGCTCGTCTGAGCCAGTCGGCCGCCTTCGGGTGCTGTACGGGCTATTGTGACTAGCCCTTTGGCAGTATCCTTCGGCTCAATAGTGAATAACCCCCTAAAACATGTTTAAAAATGAATAAAAAATAGAAATAATAATGACAAAACTGCAGAAGAATACTAGGGGAGAAAGGTTAGTTTGGCTGATTTTAGTTAGCCAAACAGGAATATATATATATTTATAACGTGTATGGTTAACTGATAATGTTATAACCAATGTCATAGGAAGATAAAAGGTCACACCTTTAGTTTACATACTGTATAAATTAAATAGTAAATACAGGGACTGCTGGCATATGTAACAGGAGATCTGTAACAGGGCAAGAGGAGCTGGATTTAGGAGATACCGTCTAGAACTTTTTTGCAAGTTTTTTTTAGGCTGTATCTCCTGCCCTCAAGGTCTTAAGTTGCTGCAGGTAGCAACTACTGCAAGAAGAGAATATGTAAGCAGACTGCTTCAGGTTGGAGGTCTTGTGTCTGAAACTTGTGAAACTTGTGAAACTTGTGATCAGCAAAACAGTTACCGCATGCAATTGATATTTTACAGCACACAGCAGGGACAAATTAGCATAAAGGATAAAAGCTGAAAGTACAGTTATGATTCAACAAGGGTGTTAAAAGCATGTTCTAAAATACT